GGTCATATACATATTCATTTTTATTTATAAATTGAACACAAATCAATTATAATTAAATCTGTTTATAAACATTCACATTTATTTATAATTGAAACAAAAAAAATTAAATTTTTCATCAACCGGCGCCGGTCGGACCTATTAACCGGCGTCGTACGTTTACAGAGACTTTTGGATGTTGAAGTTCACGCGTAACCGGCGCCGGACACACCCCCAACCGGCACCGGTCGGTCCGGCTAAAATACCCCCAGGTCGCGAAATCCAGCCTTTTTTTCAAACCACCACCCCCCCCAGTTTGAGAGCTTAACGCCGGAAAACACCCCCAAGCACCCCAAATCCGTTTCCTAACACGGGAAAGCACTCCCCCAAGGCCTACAAAACATCACACGACCCCCCTCCAAGTTCTAAATCAAGAAGAAATCATCAATTCAAGGTATTTTGGCTTTAATCCCAAATTTCTCCAAATTTTGAAATCTTTTCTTTCTTTCAATTTTTGGCAAAATAGATGCTTATAACTGATGAATATTGATTCTTTGTGCTCATATGATGTATATAAACATGATTCTTGTCAAAATATTGAGATTAAAGTTCAAAATTAGGGGAAGTTCTTGATTTTTTTTCTAAGAACCTTAATTTCGAATCTCTTGTTCATTGATGAATTGCTCTATATAATTGATGTTTAGAGGGATATTGATATGAATTATTGTTGATATATAGGCTTCTAAACATAATTGTTGCAAGAAATTTGTGTATGAACATGAAATTTGGGGGAATTGTTGAATTTTTGGATTTAATATTTAAAAATACCTTATGTTGAAAAATATATGTCGTGTTGCGTATGTGTTGAACTAATTATACAGGTCAAATGCCTCCCAAAAGAAAGAATGGTGCTAGTTCTTCTTCTTCTTCCGTACGCCGTTTCACCTCCCCGAAGAATGAAGCGTGGTACGAGAAGAGAAAGAACTGGAAAATTGTTATCGAGAAGACCGTGGACCCTCAACTCAACGAACTCTACCGGATCTCAGAGGCGTTTGACATGCTAGGGTGGGCTATCATGCTCACTCTGACCGGAGCATATTACCCGCGTCTTGTGCGGGAATTTTATGCTAACATTGAGAGGAAGAATGACCCCTATGGCAACATTGTGAGCAGCGTCAAAGGCACGACGATCACGATGAGCGAACGCCGGCTGTGCAACCTACTCAACATCGTTAACGTAGATACTCCCATTTCAATGAACTCTCAGGTGGTGCTATGCGACCGTGACTATGATAAAATAAGGGCAATGCAACTATTCGGACTCAATGAAGAGCTTAAGGCCAAGACCCTTAATGTTCGGGAAAGACTAATCGTGTACCTTCTTGGCTCCAACATCTTGCCACAAGCTAGTGACACACACCTCGTGCGGCGGGTAGACCTCTACCTTTTGCACAAGATGGTCACCGGGCTCAGACATATTCAAGCCGTCCCTTTGGTCCCTCTCATCATGATGGACATGAGGAGCGTAGTTAAGACCAAAAGATGTGACAAACTTTTATTTACCCTCTTTTACTTACTATGATCTTTAGGAGTTTCGGTGTTGACCTTGAAAATGAAGAGTTGGGTACACAAGCGGGTCACAAGTCCTCAATGCAAACACTATGGTCTCCCTCCATTACAAAAAGGTGGGAAACACATGGGTCCGAAGGGAAGAAGGGGATGAAGAGGAGCAGGAGGGTGGCGATGAAGAGATGGGTGAAGCCCAACCACAACCGACAGCCCGACCACGGAGGACCATGACACAGAGCCTTGACTATCTCATCGACTCCATGGACCGCATGCACACAAGGATGGATGTCTATGAGACTCGGCAAGAGGAGCTTTACACCCGCTATGATTCTTTTGAGGCCCGTCGGGCGAGAATCGAGGAGCATTTGGAAGGATATGACCAAAGGTTCGAGCAATTTACCCAACACTATTATGGTCAATATGGGAACCCCCCTCCTGGTCCACAATATTGAACTCCTTTTGTTGCTATTTTCTGTGATACAATCTTCTCTAAACACACTTTATTGTGGATGTTGATTGAAGTAATTGTTTATCATGTATCCCTCATCATACATTGGGACAATGTATCTTAAGTGTGGGGGGTGCATCTCATGATGGTTGTGGTGGTTAAACAAACTTTATTTTGTGCAAAATATTTTTGTTTTTTTGGAAGGTAAAAATTGTTATATCTCTCTTTTAATGGGTATTTGGTTGAGAAATTGTTTTATTTATTTATTATTACTCACAAAACTATCATTTTTTTTAGATTTATTACACTACTTTTTACTCTTGAAAATCATTCCCAAAAAGAATCCTTGTGACTAGGAAACATCATCTTCTTTCATCTCCCAAAATGGTTTAGATACATCTCAAATATTCAAAAAAAACCATTTTGGAGTACAAGCCATGACACCCACATATCTCGTCAAATAATTTGAGACTATCAAAATGACTTTCATTAAATACTTGTTGAGAACCATTCCAATTGAGTTAAAAAAAATAGCTCATGGTCTCTTCCAAGAATTTCAATTGAACCATTTCCATACTCAAAAGTCAAAATTCCCAAAAGAAAACCATTCTACACATCCAAAAAAGCCCCAGTCACAACTCACTCATAAATTCAATAGTATAAGTAATTTTTCTAAATCTAATGATATTTTTGTGTGTGTAAGAGAAAAAAAGGGTTTTGGACCAAGAATGATAAAAGAGTCTATATACGTTTTTTACCTCTCTTAAGAGCAAAATTATTCTTGTACATATATTTTTGTTGAACCAACCAAGACATCCAAAGGTGACAACATTGCTCGAGGACTAGCAACGCTCAAGTGTGGGGGAATTTGATAAACACAATAATTACTTATGCTTTACATAGGTAATTATATTTATCTGTACAAAAATATAGAGCGGAAACAGGTAAATATTCCAAAGTGTGCATAAATGTGAAATATGGCTAGGAGCGACAAATACGTGGTCAAAAGGGATTGAAAATCAGCACTTCTGGATAAATCGTGGGCATGAAATTGAGAAGAAGAAGCAAGTAAATATTTTGGCGCAGTGACCGGCACCGGTCCCCTGATAACCGGCGGCGGTTGGATTTTAATATCCGAAAAAATACTCATGACCGGCGCCGGTCATGCCAGAACCGGCACCGGTTGGGTCGATTTGCTGCTAAAACACATCATCGTGCTAAAACCAAAAATATAAAATACAAATCAAAATCTCTGCACTTTATTCGTTTCTTCATTCAAAACTATCTACTCTCGGACTTGAATTAAACAACGTTTCCTTGTGGATTCGACCCGGTATTTTACCGGAACTTATTACTATATCAGCACTTGTATACTTGCAAGTTTAGTCCGGTCAATCCCTGATTCCGTCAAATGTCTCCATGTTTGGTACGTCAAATTTATTCGGCGCCCAGTTTGACATGGGTGTTCGAATCATCAAAAGGTGAATCGCCATAACACGTTTGAGACGCCATGTCAAGTGGAGGCGGAACTCTAGGAATTGCATTAATCCTCACCTGCATTTGTCGTAGTAGTGCAAATATCACTCCCATGGGACCATCAGCATTGTTCGTCGGACGACTGACAGTTTTTGTCGAGTACATTCAACAAATAAAACCAAAACTTTGAGTACATTCTGGTCTAGTCGGAGAAGGGATGTCGATGACTTCATGATTCTGCCAATTATGAGTGGGAATGGGAAGAGGAAAAGGTTCTGAACAAGACGATATTTCATTGGATGTAGAAAGGTTTTTGGTGACGAGTTGTGGATTTAAAGGTCTATTCCCGACACTAAGAGAAGCTGAAAGGTGCCGAATTGGAATAATGTCACCAATTGTAGATATTGGATGCAAAGGGGTATGATACATAACCTGGGATACCACCGGAGACTCGGGTTGATTGAATGAGTACTGTTGGAAATCCTCAAATCCGGACCGGCTCAGACCTCAATCACCATATCCCAAAGGCTTGCACAATCATTCACTACCAAGGTTGCAATAGGAAAGATGGAAGGGCAACAGTCAACTACACTCAATTATAGAGCCCAACCCCCCCAGACCAAAGCCCCAGAGAAACCCACCGGAGAGTAGCCCCAAACTACCAGACCAGAGTGAAGCCCACCAAAGGATCCCCAGGGAATCACCGGAGGTTAGCCGGAGCTCAACCCAACAGTGAAACCGGCACTCTCTCACTCTAGAACTAAGGCAACACGCTGAATAGCACATCAGATAGAGAGAAGGAGGAGCAGGTGAAATAGGAGGTTCGAGAAGGAACCAAACAAATATATCAAAGGGCCACAGGGTCACGGGCTAGGTAGAAAACAAATAGGGCATATGGGCTTGGTCGAGTAGACAGCCCAAATGGGCCAGAACATTAAATAGGAGACCAGGCTATTAAATGAGGTGGGCCAAGGCTTAAATGAGGTGGACCAATACCATCAACAATCTCCACCTTATTGGTCCCCCTGGTGGTGTAGAGCACACTGTGAAAGGGAGTATCATCATCGCCGGTTTTTTGTTTTGTTTTTTATCTGGTCTTATCTAGCCACAATCTAAATTAAGAATACGTTTACAAGACAACAATTTTTCAAAGGTGAGACATTTAGTCCCCATATCAGAAGGGTTAAATTCAGAGGCTATCTTGGACAGCCTTATCCATCCTGCATCAACAATATTCCTGATAAAATGAAACCTGACATCAATGTGCTTGGTCATGTCATTAAATACAGGATTTTTGCACAATTGGATAGCAGACTGGCTATCAAAATAGACTGTCACAACGTGCTTAAGAAAACCAATTTCAGTTAGTATACGTTTCAGCCAAATGGCCTCCTTAAAGGCTTCAGTGGCTGTCATGTATTCAGATTCAGTAGTGAAAAGTGCAATAATAGGTTGTAGTTGGGATTTCCAACTTATGCAGAAACCACACATAGTTTCTTTGGATAAAATGTAAATATATATCCAAAAGTAGTTCTGTACATCATATACATGATACAAAAATGTAGGCAATCCTAAGTAAGGATGCCCTATCACCACCAAAAAGATAAAGTGCTATTATCTATGACAGCCATATCAAAAACTAGGTGACGCCAAAAGTTTCAAAAAGTAATCATGTGATACGGATATAAAGAGTATAACACTTTATACACCATAAACTTAATATGGGTGATCATATCCGTCACATTGTGTGTAGCTCCATCAAAACGTATAAAGTTTCTTATGCTCCATATCCAATATGCGGTGAAGCAGAATGCTATCCGTATAGCTTTGGCTCTAATGTGCGCTCCCTTGCATTCCCTTTGTATCCACTTTATAGAACTTCTTAGTGTTGTCATCTGCCTTGTCATTCCCAGCCATTCCCTTATAGTTTTCCAAACCTGACCTGTAATAGAACATTCAACAAATATGTGTGGTACAGTTTCTGAACCACCCTTACAAAAGAAACACACATTAGGTAGGTTAAGATATCCCAAGTTATCCGAAGTTGCTAGCCTATTTTGCAAAGCCATCCACATGATAAATGAAAACTTGGGAGGGACATAAGGCTTCCAAATGAATGGCATCCAAGCATGAGTTGTCCCTTTAATTCTTAAAAGATCATATACCTTGGAAGGTGAAAGTTTCCCATTGGAAGTACATTTCTAAAGGTATATTATGGCGTCAGTCTAAGAGGGGAATTTAGAGACAATGGCATCTCTAATTAACACCAATCTCTTCATGAGTTGGGAGTCCCTATTGTGTGGAACAGACATCCACACATCTCTCCCATGAAGGCATACCTCATGGACCCACCTAACCCAAAGGAACCACACATAGTAAAAATATAGGAAGTAGTAGACTTTCTATTGTCTCTATCATTTGCATAATTGAAGTCAACATAGCCTGTAAGCAAAATGGCAGTTGGAGTTTTAAAAAACACAAGGCCATGGGAGGGTGTACCCTTAAGGTATCTAAGAAGCCATTTAAGGGCAGTCCAGTGAGACATACCAGGGTTTGCCATATATCTACTTAAGCAACTAACAACATAAGCTATATCAGGTGTTGTGCTTACCATGAGATACATGACTGACCCTATAGCACTGGAATAGGGTACAAATTTCATCCTATCTATCTCAGGAGCAGTCCTTTGGGACTGGTCCTTACTTAGCACAAAATGAGGTGCTAAAGGAACATTTACAGGATGGGCAGAGTCAAGATTGAACTTTTTCAAGACCTTATCTAAATAGGAGGTTTGGTTCAGGGTAAGGGTACATCTACTCCTATGCCTAATTATATTAATCCCTAGGATTCTCTTAGCATCTCCAAGATCTTTCATAGCAATGTTTTCACAAATGCACTTTCGAACAGTCTTATTAGCATTCACAGAAGGGCTAATGATAAACATGTCATCAACATAGATCAACAAGAAAACAGGTACAGAAGCAGTATTCTTAAAATACAATCAGTGATCAGAATCAAACCTTTTGAATCTCAGGGAAGTCATGCATTGGTCAAATTTTATGTCACACTGTCTGGGTGACTGTTTCAGGCCATAGAGGACCTTCCTAAGTAGACAGACATGTCTAGTGTACTTAGGGTCATCAAAACCCTCATGTTGGGTCATGTAGATCTGTTTATCTAATTCACCATGTAGAATGGCAGTGGTAACATCCATTTGTTTCATCTCCCAGTCATTATGGGAAACTAGGACCAGCATCATCCTAATTGTGGTAAATTTTACTACTGGAGCAAAAATTTCAGCATAGTCTACCCCTTCTTTTTGAGTGAAACCTTTAGCCACTAACCTAGCCTTAAATCTAATGTCATTAGGTTCCTCTTTAACTTTGAAAAGCCATTTGCACTCAACAACAGAGCAATTAGGAGTCCTAGGAACTAGGGTCCAAGTTTTATTCAATTTAAGGGAATCTATTTCACTTTGCATAGCACTAAGCCAGTTTTTAGATTTTCTAGAGGCAAGGGCTTCTTGGTAGGTTTTAGGTTCATTCAACTCAAGAGTTTCAAAAACAGAGAAAGCAAACAAGGAAGTATCATACAGATGAAAAGCATAATCAGTCATACTATCGGAAATTTTCCTTATGTTTCTCCTAGTTCTGTCTCTAGCTAACTGATAATTTTCAAGATTCAGATTCTTAGTATTAGTTTCATGAAAATCATTGTTATCAGTAGAATCATCTCCAGCAAACACATCATGCACATTCTCATTATTGTGATTAGACCCAGTAGGCTACTCCACCTCACTGGAGGTAGAGGAGGTGTCATGCATAGTGTTGGTCAGGTCAGGAGCATCAGAAGATTCAAATTCATAACCAGAGGGGCAGTAGTAGTCTGAGTAGGCTCCACCTCACTTGGAGTGGTGCCTTCAGAGCTCAGTTCAGGGTCAGTCACATTGTTCAATAAGCAAGGAAAATCAAATTCATTGAACATAACATTTCTACTTATTATGACTTTAAAACCAATCTGACTCCTATCCGAGATCATATACCCTTTTACCCCTTCAGGCTAACCTTAGAAAATACACTTTTTAGACCAAGGGTCCAACTTATCAGTTTGTTGGTGTACATAGGCAGCACACCCAAACACCTTTAAGTTTGACAGGTCAAGGGGTTTCTTAGAGAAGACAGACTCAGGGCATTTACCATCTAAGGGTACAGAAGGAGACCTATTGATCAAGTAGGTGGCAGTATTAACAACTTCTCCCCAAAACTTCTTGGGGAGGCCAGAAGTAGCAAGCATACTTCTGACTTTGTCAAGGAGGGTGCTATTCATTCTCTCAGCCAAGCCATTTTGTTGGGGAGTATAGGGCACATTTTTGTGTCTTCTAATCCCACACTCAGTACACAACATATCCATATCCTTATTGCAGAATTCTAATCCATTGTCAGTTCTAAGGGTTTTAACCTCTCCAATTTGATTTTCTACCATAATTTTCCATTCTTTAAACCTAACATACACATCAGATTTATGTTCTAACAAACAGACCCAGACTTTTCTAGAAAAGTCATCAATTATGGATAGAAAGTACCTCCTACCCCCATGAGTAGGGACACTGGAAGGACCCCACTCATCAGCATGTATGTAGTCAAGGACAGCTTTGGACTTAGGCTCACTAGGATACCTAGAGGTAGGAAACTAAACCCTATGTTGTTTACCTAAGACACAACCCTCACAGAATGGTATAGGTGACACCAAGTCAGATCCAAAACACCCAGATTTTTGTAAAATGTTCAATCCACTATTACTCATATGACCAAGTCTTTGGTGCCAAAGCACAGACTTATCAGTGAGTACAACATTAGCATTTTCAGAAAAAGGTTTGGCATGAACCACATAAAGGTTATTTTGTTTCAAAGCCTTGAATAAAACAAGAGAGTTTTTCAAAATTTTCATACACCCATTCCCCCATTTACCCTCAAGACCACATTCTTCAAAAGCAGAGGCTGAAAATAGGTTATGTCTTAGATCAGGAACATGCCTAACATTTTTGATTTGAAAAACAGTTCCATTTTAAAATTTTAGACAGATGTCACCAATACCATGGACCTTACACCTTTCACTATCAGCTAGGGAAACAAAACCAGTTTCACACAAGTTATAGGAGGAGACTAGATTCCTAAAAGGGGTCATATGGTAGGTACAACCAGAGTCTATTAACCATTCAGTTTCAGTCAGACTACTAAGCACAGAATTAGCTTGGTCACAAACCATAAAGACTTCATCCTCTACATATTTATTAGTCACAACATTAGCCTGGTCATTCTTTTTAGGTTGGGTACAATCTTTAATGAAATGTCCTGGGTTGCCACAGTTGTAACAGACTCTTTTCCTAGACTTAAACCTTTTCTTTCCAGGTTGCCTATTCCCTTTGTCATGATTATCCTTCTTAGGATTCCTAGACCTGCTTTTAGACCTCCCTCTAACAAACAAAGCTTCCCCAGATTCCCTATGATGACTCCTAGAGTGTTTTAAGTCCAGTTCTTTACTTCTCAGGCCATTAATAACAATATCTAGGGTTATGTCATCCCTTCCATACTTAATGGCTGACTTAACATCATTATAGGAATCAGGTATAGCATTGAGTAAAACTATAGCAGTGTAGTCATCTATATGTTTATTCCCAACCTGCTTAATGTTTTGGATTAGCTTATTAAAAACATCTAGGTTTTCATCAATATCTTTTGTTAGGTCAAGTCTGAACCTAAAAAACTTTTCCAACAAAAATAGTTTTCCAGGAAGAAAAGTCTCAGTATATAGAGACTCAAGTTTGTCCGAGAGGGCTTTAGCAGACTCAATGAATCCAACCTTTCTAAGGACAGAGTCAGACATGTTTAAGTATATAGTTGAGGAGGTTGTTTCATTCATTTCAACTTGTTTAGGTTTATCCTCAGTTTCTAAGTATTGTCCAGTAACAGCTCTATACACTTTCTGTTCAATTAACACACATTTTATCTTCTGTTTCCATATATCGAAGTCAGTCTTACAATTAAAAGGCATCATACCATATAGGTTTGAAGTCGTGATAACAGTCAATACCCAAACAGTTGAATATCAGGTAATATAAAAGCTTAACCCTAGAGGTTCAGGCAGCGGACTAAGAGACCACGCAGTTCCGGGGCCTCTAAGGAGGCTTGCAGGGTATCCCTTAGCCCTAACCTCAGGTGCCTTAGCCAACTAGGGGTTAAAGCTACACTATTACCAGAATTCAGAGAAGAGGGTAGGACAAGACAGACTTGAGCAGAGAACTAACAAAAATAACACAACAGAAATAAGGCAAGCTACAACAAACAGGGAGAGGTTCTGAGGCAATAACACAGAGGGGTAGCAAATTAAAGACCACAACACACAGAGAGTCAATTTAATAAGCCAATCAATGTGCACAAATAACCAGTGGCCAAGTTCGACATAGATTGGACCACTCATGCACAATCGAACCACACCTAGGGTATCTACAGATCTGTACTAACAGATACTGTACATGCAAGGTTTTCTAGGGTTTCTACTCGGTAGATTGTTGCTCAGAGAGAGCAAATCTACCCATGCAGCACAGAAGCCAGTGGCACTCCGGCAGCCCAAGGGTTAGGGTTTTAGCGTTATACCTGAGCGGGTGTCCAGCAAAGACAACCCGACTTACCACTTCTGATGGTGCTCCAGGCGTTACCGGTTCGGGAGATCTCCGGTGAGTTTCCGGCGTCGGCGAGAGGCGGCAGCGTCCAAGCTCTGTTACTACTGTTGGAACTCTCGACCAGCTCAGACCTCAATCACAAATAGCCCAAAGGCTTGCTCAATCATTCACCACCAAGGTTGCAATAGGGAAGACGGAAGGGCAACAGTCAACTACACTCAAATATAGAGCCCAACCCCCAGACCAAAGCCCTAGAGAACCCACCGGAGAGTAGCCCCAAACTACCAGACCAGAGTGAAGCCCACCAAAGGATCCCCAAGGAATCACCGGAGGTTAGCCGGAGCTCAACCCAACAGTGAAACCGGCATTCTCTCACTCTAGAACTAGGGCAACACGCTGAAGAGAACATCGGATAGAGAGAAGGAGGAGCGGGTGAAATAGGAGGTTCGAGAAGGAACCAGACAAATATATCAAAGGGCCACAGGGTCACGGGCTGGGTAGAAAACAAATAGGGCGTATGGGTTTGGTCGAGTAGACAGCCCAAATGGGCCAGAACATTAAATAGGAGATCAGGCTATTAAATGAGGTGGACCAAGGCTTAAATGAGGTGGACCAATACCATCAACAAGTACAACCCTAGGCTTAGTGAGATGGCATAGCAGGAGGTCGGTATTGGACCTGTTCTGTCAGTGACAGGATTTAAATCTGTCATGACAATGACGAGATTCAAATTTGTCATCACAACAGCTGTTGCGTTGTTTCTCTTGGAATACCTAGAGCTGCAGGAAGCTATGGAGGTAGTGGCCTGGACTTGCAATTTTAGGAGGTTGTTTTCCTCTTGAATGCAAGTAATTTTTAACGCCATTTCCCGCTTCATTTCCTCCTTCACAACCTATATTTGCTTTTGGACTTCCACCATTATAACTGAGCTTTGATCTTCCATGAATGAATTTTTCTTGCACGTGCCTCACAGTCAGCGCCAAATTGTTTAGGCAATTTTTATGCTAATTCAAACAATCAATTAAATGAAAGGATGATACTAGCTACGTACAAGAAATATAATTTTATTACGTGAAAGAAATAAAAATAAAAGCAATAAAAATAGAGCTAGAAGCTTTGTTATTGTTTTGTTAAAGTATAAGACGTAGTGATTACAATGTCTGTTTTACAATCCAATGCTATGCTATTTATAAAGAATGGACAGATATGTTTCATAATCTTTTGCCGATTGAATTGAAGAGTAGTCTCTCATATGTCCGTCCACTCTCCAACTGCTTTCACTATTTTCTCTCCACTCACATGATTGTTCAGTTGCTTGAGATTATCTCGTACTCTTGGACTCCACTTAACGGTATAATGTTATCCACCCAACTCAACATCTTTATTAATTATACAAAGGCAATTAAACTCTTTCTTTAATTCTTGTCCCAACACATACTCTTTGTTTTTAAAACATTCACAACAAAGTGGGCTAGCTTATGTTGGAAAAATGTGTTAAAAATTGTAATAAATGTTCATTTTGGGGCAATTATTTGAGTGGGGTCCACTTCCGATTTGGGTCGGGTCAAAGTGGTTTCGGATTGTCCTTGTTAAGGGCTACAATTCGATAATGGTACTGGGAAAAAGATGGGTTTTCTAATGGGATTTATCCCACACCGAAAAACCCATGGGATTTTCACCCCTTTATAAAGAGAACCCACCTAGAAGGAGTTATGATTCCTTAGGGGAAAAGATCTCTTTGCGCGCAGGAGGGGGGGTGCCGATCAAATCCCAAAAACGGAGAAGAAAAACCGCGAATCGTGTGCGCGGGGCGACCTGCGGACACGAATGTCGTCCGGAAATCTATCATTCAAAGATACGATATAATTTTTGCTTCTTCCCGTTACAGTTTCAGTTTTCCGAAGCAGAAGGCCTAAGTGTTCTGGTGCCTTCCCAACAGAAGACTAGAAAGCAACTCTACTGGGGAGTTCTGGTCGCACCAGAAGGCCACGGGGCAGTTCTGGTCGCACCAGAAGGCCTCGAGGTATTCTGTTCGCATCAGAAGGCCACTGAGAGTTCTGGTCGCACCAGAAGGCCACGGGGCAGTTCTGGTCACACCAGAAGGCCTTGAGGTATTTTGTTCGCATCAGAAGGCCACAGGGGCAGTTTTGGTCGCACCAGAAGACCTTGAGGTATTCTGTTCGCACAAGAAGGCTTCTGGTCCATTACAACAAGTAATGTCCAACGTTCTTATCTTTTAATGCTGCGTTCATGGATGATTCAATGCCCAACGGACTGGTCATTGATGTCCAACGTTCAGGTCCATTGGCACCCCATTTAACACACAACAAATTCTCCTATAAATAGCTGACAGGTGCTTTGCAACAAGATATGCAATCATACACTATCTACACATATTTTGAGCTCTAAAAAACACCTTCAGCTTCTCTGAAAATTCCCGAGTGTTCTTCTTTGTTCGAGTTCGCCGGGATTTTCATTTGTGCTCAAACGTTAGTTCGTTAGCCACCGTATCCTGGGAAACGGTCGTTGCAACGCTCCTAGCACCGTGAGAGACGACAGTACATTTTCAGGACATCGTGCGTAGCACGAGCTCTGGCTAAACTCTGTCTCATCTCTTTTTCTGTTTTCTTTGGCGATTTTAATTAATTAATTATTTTATTAATTAATATTTCTTCGTTTTTCCGAGACACACCCAACAGCCGAAAGATTAAGCATCCCGTATCCCATCCTAATTCCGATAATAATAATGAAGATTAAGATAGACACGTTTCGCAGTTTCAACAATGTCGACTCTTTAACTAATTAATGGACGTGTTTTCTCAAACAAAAAAAAGTAATGAACGTGCTCTGTATGAAGATCCGACTCCCCAATTCCCATAAGGCCCAAAGGCTAAGCGCATGCTGCGCGCCTATTTAAGTAATTTGAACTACGGAGAATCCGATCGATACATATTCCTCTTTCTGATGCGATGTCTGCCCATCGTCGAAGAAAAACAGTGATTAGTGAGCTTCCCGAAGAGGTAAAGGAGAGGATTTTGGGGCGGATGCCCACTCGAGACGCCGCCAGATGCGCTCTGCTCTCTACTCAGTGGAGGGATGCTTGGTACCGCCAAGGCCGGCTTGTCTTTGACTCGGAGTTCTTCGACTCTTTTAAAAGCCTGAGAAATGTTGCTGACAAAGACGCCTTTTTTGTGAACATAATAAACAGCATTCTCCTGCTGCGAGCTGGGCCTGTTAAGTTATTTACGTTGGAGATTTATGGCCCATATCCGCGGCGGCCGCTGCAATCCGAATTAGACCGGTGGTGTCTTTTTCTATCAAGAAACGGCGTGGAGGAACTTGACCTCTCTATGAGCTCTAAACATAAGCTTCCACTTTGTCTAATGTCATGCAAGACCATGAGGCAACTTTCACCTGCAAATTTCTTTATCCGTTTGCCGGCAAATGCTCGGTGTATATTTCCCGGACTCATCTCGGCAAATGGTAATGGTAACGGACTGGTCAATACTACTCTTCCGAAGCTTGAGAACCTGGACTTCATCGATGGCTGTGTTGGTGTTGGTAATTTCTTGGTCAGCGCTCCACAACTTCAATGTTTGGACGCAGATGACTGCGTGGAAGGGGCCACAATCAGATTGCTCGCACTTCATTTGATCTCTATCGACGCGCAATGAGAATGAACTATTCACATATTCAAGTTTAACTATATTTGATTAATTAATGTATTATAAATTAAATTTTTAAAAGATATTGCTAAATTTTTCTCATTCTAAATTTTCAAAATATGAATTTTTTAAATTTTTTACTAATAGGAATTGAAAGATATTAATAGTCAAACTTGTGCGTTGACAAACGTGAAATGTTGACTGAAGTATATAAAAATAGGATAATACTCAAAGGATATAAAAATAGGATAATACCCTTAGAATATCTCCAATGCAAACGGATGCATACATGGGTATGAGAGATAGCCAATTACTCGTATAAAATAGGAGCAACAAATAGAATATTTCTCTCCTTATTTGAACGGTCTTGTAGGTTTTTTATTAATTTTCTCCGCATTGTCAAACACAATGTCTAGATTTAGAATTTGTGGTTGAAATTGTTGAGAAAAACATAACTTACCAAAAACACACAAGACTGTGGAAAGAATCAGAGAGAAATGTCATAAATTTAATTTTTTATCTATCTCTCTCATAACACTTACATGTGCACCGTGCACATTATAACATTTGATATGCTCTTAAAGGTTTTCATTCTATTTTAAATAATAATTCACTCTCTTTAATTATACGTTTACTCAAATTTCTTTTTCCAAAATTATAGACTGCGTAGCAACTATTTAGAGGTTTTATCTTATTGGTTTTTAAAAAAATTACTTTAAAATTCAAAAGCTTGTTCGCAAATAAATAATTTCTGATTCACCAAAGTAAAAATTATTAGGTTCAATTTAGTTTGATTTGGATCGGTTTCTTGTGTTTATTATTTTATTTGATCAAGTTCTTTATTTTAGAATTAGAAAATGAAAGTAGTAGTCCATCTCATCTTCTTTTATTTACATAGTATTATTTAAATAGTAAAAGAAATAATAAAATATAGTAAATTAAAGCATCTAACATGAGTATCTCTTAATTGATTACAGGTATGTAAATAATTTGATTACTTTTGTTGTTACTTTAGGATAACGATGTGGCAGTGCCTCTGCAGCTCTCCCCATTGCGAAGAATCTCAGAGAAATCGTGCTTCTTAGCTTCAGTTTTGATTGTGGGAACCATCTAACCTTTCTTATCCACTTGCTTAAAAAATCCCCCAAACTATGCGCGCTGAAGATTCATGTGGAAGCAGGAAGCGTGAGTAAACACGATCTCTTCTTTTACTCCGTATATGTATTCCAAACACGATCTCGTATTTTGAGTTTTTTAAAACTCAAAATTAAGTTTTGCCATAAAAAAGGATAAATTTTAAAATATATTAAATATATTTTTATCCACTAAATATATACTAACTCCATAATCATTGTGTGATTAAGATTTATGCAAAAGAGAGAGAAATGAATAGATTCATTAATTCATTGCTTTAAAATGAAAGTGACAAAGTTTTTTGGAACCAACTAAAAAAGAAAGTTGACAAAATCCAATGGAATGAAGGTAGTATGAATTTTTTAGTGTAAATAAATAATTCACGTTATAAAGATTATCTTTAGAAGGCAACAATGATACTCAACGATAGTACTTGAAACTAAGGCAATTTTGTTTTACGGAGTAATTATGTACTTCGTATAGTATATGTGTATTAATGTTTGTTTATTAACGTTTCATATTATTTTCCATAAAAAATGTTCATTTTATTATATCATCATTTGTTTTTATTCAAATTAAATTACTGTAATATTTTAATGGGAAATTGCCCTAAATAGGAGTAAATGAGGTTTGGAATTCCAAAAATGGATTACTATGTTTTTTATCCTGAAATAAGAGTTGTTACTGTCATGTATGAAAAATACTAGCATGATTGAAAAATACTGTCATTAATTATAATAAAAACTATCATGTTAAATACATTGTATTGCAACTATTTGAAAGTCACGCAAACAAATTTGAAGTAAATACTGCCATGTTAGTACTATTTCGTGAATAAAAACATAGTAGTTCTATTTTGAAATTCCAAACTTCATTTACTCCTATTTTAGGAAATATCTCTATTTTAATTCGTCTATATCAACAAGGTAAATATCATGGGCGAACTCCCAATTAAATTACCCATTAGCACTTGATTTATTTTGTCGTTGTCTTGCCTACCTGCTTATATATGTTATTATTGATGTTGATTTAGTTGACAAAATCGATATCGGATAGCGACCAGAAAGAAGCCAATTTAACACTTTTGGAGGGTCCTACAGAAGGCGTGCAATTCATTAAAGATGAAATGAGAATGGTTGAGACTGTGAAGATCAACGGATTTACAGGATCTGAAACTGAAATATGCTTTTTGAAACTGTTACTCTCCAAGTCCTCTGCGCTCCATGATGTTGTTATTTGGGAAGCTACAGATATCAACATCTCTCTGTCTTTTCAGGCCCTAAAGAAGCTTTTGAGCTTTCCTCGTGCATCTTCCAAAGCAAAACTTATCTACAAAGAGCACAACGCAGTTTCACTCCAAAGTTTCTTTGAAACGTTTTGCTATTCAACTATATAATGATAGTAACCTAGAAATATTCCAGTAAACAAGGCTGAAACCAATGGTACGTAATGTATTCCATATTGATTGTAAAACATTGCTAGTACTCAAGAACTTTAGCATCGTTTCTGTTAGATGATTAAAGCTGTTATCCTACACATTTCCAAGTAAATTTGTATTTTAAGCTAGCTTTGCATGTTGCGTGCATGTGTGGAAATGTAGAATGGATGTGATGGAGTATATTTCTATATACCCCTAGAGTCATAATAATACATAAACAAACCTCCAATCCGCAATCGACTAATGCAATATCGACAACCCAGGTTGAGCTCGATCATCCCCTGAGCTGAGGTCGAGCTTGAATCATGACACTACAAAAAAACACGGACGTAGTCACGGATTTAGTCACGGACCGCAGTGTAAAAAATCTGTGACTAACATAGTTAATCACAGATTTTGTCCGTGACTAGGTCAAAGACTAATTCCGCGTGACTAAAATGTAGTCACTGAAATTTGGCCGTGACTAACTGTAGTCACGGATTAGTCACGAACCTGATCCGGGACTAATTCTTGATCGGAATTGCAACTCCGGCACGTTAGTCACGGATTAGATCCGTGACTACGTTTAATTTAATTTTTTTTATCTTAGTCACGGACATGTCCGTGACTACGTGTATTTTTTTTTTTAAATTCGGACATATTAGTCACGGACCGATCCGTGACTAAGTTTTGAAATTTTCAAATTTTCAAAAGCCCGCGGTTTTAATTTTCAAAATTTGTATTAGTCACGGACATGTATCCGTGACTATTATTTAAAAAAAATTGAATTTAGAAAAGAGTTCCGGACAAAAAAATAGTCACGGATTTAGTCTGTGACTAAAGTTTTTTTTTTAGTTTTTCCATTTGAAAAAAGATTAAAAAATTATTTTAATTTTTCTTTAAAGCAATTAGAACAGTAAATGAAAAACAAAATCCATACAATGTTAAGCATAAAAAATGTTATTACAGATAGGAATTATAAAAGTGATATGAAATGTTAAACTTAAAAAATGTATTATTACATGCCCGACCGTCGGACTCCATTATGATAAAAACTAGGATCATCATTATCATATGCATCATTATCATCATAATCAAGATGATCCTCTTCGGCATCCACGAGGTCTAAGGGTCGGGTACCTCCTCAGCTGCCTCCTCGGTCGCCTCCACCGGATGACTGAAATTGATTGAAGAAATCAGACGATAAAGATCCGTATGTCGACCCCATTGCAGGTGATGGATCTTCGGACCAGGGGTGGCCGGAATCCACCGAAATAAGAATGAAGGAGAGCGAACTGGTGAAATCCCAATGTATCTTCTCAGAATTGCAGTAAATCGAGTACTTAGAAGCGAAAATTCAGAACCCCTTCCACAAGCCGGAAGGAGATATTTATACTAAGGAGAAAAGGAAATACTTGGCAGCCAAGCAAAAGGAGCTAGTCTAATAAAAGAGAGACACGTGTAAAGCTATTCTAACAAACAACCAGATCCAACGAACCGGGGGCCGCCACGTGGAGAGCTGGTTGGAGAGAGAGTGCCCTTGATAGTTGGCTGATTGATTATTCTTCTAACAGAATTCCTGCCAAGGATCTCGTATGATCGTGTGCGGGTAGTCTGGAATATTCTTTGATACGGAGGATGATGTGGCGATGTTTTCCGCGAGTCAAGTCTGTGTGGGTTTTGTCTAAGTGTGAGGTGCTTCCTTCCAACCTTAGGAATCACTGAGGTCGACGCTCGGGGGCTCGGGCTCATGCTGAGAGGATTTGTCCTGCTGTCTTCTGTTCCTGCCTTGGCGGTGGTCAACTGTCTGGTGCTCGATTGTCGTTGATCCGGAGCTGGGCTTCCAGGGTCAGACTTAGTACCGACCTCGGGGTGTCTCGAGGTCGGGCTCATAACCCGCTGAGTCTGGTTGATTCCCGAGCTCGATATTTTCCTGACCTCGAGGTCGGGGTCGGGGTCGGTTGACTCCGTGAGCTGCTGAGTTTGATTGATTCCTGAGCTCGCTGTTCCCGACCTCAGCGGTCGGGGTGGGGGTCGGGCCCAGATTGTGGACTTGGTATTTTCTTGTCTCTGGCGGATCTGCGATGCTTTCTACCGGCGATTATGGTACCCCTGGGGTATACGGGAATATACTCCATCATTAGCCCCCCACTCTCCGAGGCGAAAAGTGAAACTTGAGGTGAGAGAGAGTAAATCTTCACTTTCCTGGGGCCGCTCGCCTGGCAGGGGTGCTGCTCTTCCATGGTCATGACAAAGGGGTACCTCATTAAAAACTCCGCTGAGGAAAAACCTTGTGAGAAAAAATCCTAACGGAGGAAAAAGAGTATACTCCGCTTTGCCATGAAGTCCGGAGAGGTAAGCGACGCCCGCTGCTGAGAAATCCGAGCTCGATCTCCGCGTGCTTCGTGTTCCAAACCTGCTTATGGGTTAGTTGCTACATCCACGGCCCCGGCCGTGGGTTGATAAAATTTTAAACTTTGAA